TGTGAAATACCTGGTGCTTTACAAGTCCGACATAGTTGAAAGTTTGCAAGTCTGAAGCCGTGTGATCACTGCAGGTAGAGAAGTCTGTTAAACTAATAGACTTGGATTTCATTTCTGGGAGGGAGGTTGTACAGTTTGGATTGCTTTGCCTTGCTGCTCGGATTCCTATGTAGAGCCAGACATAAGTAGAGCTCACCTCAGCCTCTTTCTTATTTCTTGGATTAAAAATCATAGTGAAGTCGCAGATTTTTGACTCGAGATCATCGGGCTCCTTTTCTCGGGTCTTCAGATCTGAATGATTTGTTTCCAAGAGGCTTTATCTGTCTTTAACGGTGCTTTGTAAACGGAGTGGCCAAATCCAGCTGAGATCAAAAGGTTCCCGTCAGATTACGGGAGGGGGGTAAAGACCCCTCTCAGAACTCAGACACAGAGCTGTGGCATTAGCAAAGCAGACATCGGACTTCTCCTCTCCAACCATAACTACTGTCCCTTTCACACTCCAACAGGAGCCTTGTACCGTGTTACGATGCTGATATCCAGTATCCCGCTGTCATTTATGCTGGATAATTGCAAACTGCATGGAGAACATACATCTGTAGCACAGCAAATAGAAATGGGAAATATCCGTTAAGGTATTGGTCCAATAACGCATTTGTTAGGGGGTCATCAGAAGAGGGTAGAAAAAAAAATTGGTGCTTCTTGACTTGACACTTCCTAAAACCTTCTTTCATTTCCATCTTCCTCCTCATCCTCCCCAAAACAACCCTCACATCAAAGTGCTTGGACTGCAAAAATTTGCAATCTTGAAATACAATTCCACGATTGTTACATCTCCATCCCCAAAAGTCTCACCGGAGTCACCTAAGCTGTTTCCTTAGGATCTGCAGTCCCCCTTAAAGCAAATGAATGGTGCAGATGTTCAGCAAATTTAGGGATTTGGGACAATCTGCACTTTCCTGTTCCACAGTGCAGTGTCAACAGCACAGCCAATATTTATCATTCATTCTCAGCTATCAAAGGACAGGCACAATATTTGCCCACCTTTTTTGGATGACTGGTAACCTTTGGATGCTCTGTATTAAATTAGCTTTAAATAGCTTATTTTGCTGGGGATGTGGTGATTGAAATCCGTGTACCTGCTGGCACAGCGTCTAGGGGACTCACATGATCGGTCCTGCATTCCCAGGTTATTCACGGAGGCTGCAGCCAGGAGACAGCGCGTGTGTGTCTGGGAGAGGGTGGGGTGGAATATTCATGCCATTGGAAACACTCACGTTGTTACTTAACAACTCCATTAACCTCGTGTCACAAGTCATGACCTTGTGCTGACCCTGGCGGGCAAAGCAGCGCAGCTCTGAAGTACAGAACATGAAAGTGCGAGAAGGCAGGAGCAGAGGAGGAGCAAAGCTCGGCTCTCCGTGGAAGGGACTTGCCAAGGCGCTCAAAGCGCCGCCCAAAGGCCATCCCGCCCAGGCGCTCACTGCCAGCGATTGCCAGCGGGGCCTTCCGCAGAGCTCCGGACTGACACGGCCTGTCAGCCGGGAGAGTCCCTGTCGCGGACAGAGCAGAGGGGAGAGAGCCCCAGAGCACACGGACCGGAGCTTTACATCTTCTGCTCCTGTCCCTCTGCTCTGCAGCACAGCCCTGGAGGCACAAGTGCTGCGTTCTGAGCTCATCTCACTCTATTTCAAAAACTGGGGGAAGGAGAAAACTTCACTAACCAAAGATGCTTTTCCCGTAGCTTTTTGTCTCAGGAGTCTTTTTGACATCAGTGGTGAGATGGTCACAAGCCCAACTAATGTCAGCATCAGGAAATGGGCAAAGTGACCCCAGCTTTAAGTGAGAAGGAAGAAGGTGGGATCTGATTGGCTAGGGTGAAAGGGCAACAGGAATTTGTTTGGCGGAGTGTCATGGTTTGAGTAAGAACTGTTGCAAAAGTTCTGTGGGACCTGTAAAAAGGTACTTTGGGGGCAGGCTGGGAGTGTCGGTGAGAGCTGTGGAGAGGTGATGAGAAATTCCTCTTGGTGAAGAGCATCAACTCACAGAAGCTCAGGCAAAGTGCTTTTTTCTTCCTCTTATTTTCCATCAGAGTAGCAACACAAGTGGTGACACCTGAGGATGGACAAGGGTGGTTCAATGAGCATGTGAGGAATTAGTCACATGTTGTGCTGAGCACATATTTTGGTCAGAGCAGCTCAGTGCTCGAGGAACTCTGACCTGTGTGACCGAGGGCTTGGTTGCTGTTTGCCCTCTCCAGAAAACACCAGGACAGGATGTTTCTGAGGACTTTCCATAAAGAGCCTTTCTAAAATCCCTTACTTCAAAAAGAGGCCCTTGGTACAAGCAGAGATTGGCTTCTGTTCTGAAGTTTGAGGTTTATGAAAATTGGTGTTTCTCTTTGATTTTCCAGGAGTAAATAATTACAGGTTTGACATCCGCAAGCTTTTAAGTATGATGAGTCACACCTCCAGCTATGAGATGGTTCATAAAATTCTCACTAGCATCAAAATAACAAACACTAGGTTATTTTTGCTTTCTTCCTGGATTTGCACCCTTTAGGGTTCCAGGGTTTGGGTTTTCTCCTTTGGCAGTCTAAAGTGAGCTCCTTATTGCGAAGCCTGTGCACAGCAAATTCCAGGAGTGAGGTCATCCACAGGAGCTGGACAACTCTCAAGAATTGCAACAAAATCCCGACAACAAGCAAAGGAGGTCTGGCATGAAATCCTACCCGGTGCCCGTGTGCCAGCCCAGGAGGTGCCCCAATGTATGGAGTGCTGTGTTCTCAGCAGGGCTGTATCTCCTGTTTGATCTCCAGGAGCACCAGAGAGCCCTTCCCAGCTGACAAGAGCCAGGCCAGGCCAGCTGTGCCACGGACCCTCCTACTTCCCGCTGCCGATCCTGCTCGAGGCTCAGGGCTGCTGGCCCAGCTCTCCCTGTTTACGTGTTTCCAAATTCAGGGAGGAAAAGTGAATATCAAACAGGCCTGGCCCTTTTGAAGTGGTTAAAGGATGCTATCGGGTCCAGGGGTGTGCTGTGCCTTTGAGGCTTGTTTGTCTTTGCCTGGTCTCTCTGTGCAGGCCTTTAAGGAGCCATTCCACCCTTCAAAGCCATCCCAGTCCCAACGGACCAGCCCTGGCACCAGAGCCAGGGCTGGGTGTCCTGTGTCAAAACACTTTGCTGGGAGGTTTTCAGACGTGGAAGTTTCTTTATTCTTTTGCAATAAATAATTGGACTGAAATTAGTTACTGTCAACAGGAAGAAAATAAGGGACTTAGTTTGGTTTTTAAGGAGGAGGTTTTGTCCCTCAACACTGAGCTTCCTTTTTAATGTCAGCTGGAAGGTTTGGAGCCCTTTTCTCATACTCACACACGAGTAAGTGATGGTCTTAAAATGCATCCTACTCCTTTTCTCAGCTTTAGCTCTCTAACCAGGAGCTCGCTGTGGCTTTTGGCTGGATCCTCGAATCATTGTGTGCTCCTGCTCTCTCCTGGTCAGAGGCTGGAATTGCTACTTGAGCACATAAGTCGTGTTGGAAGGAGAAACTCAAAGCACTTGGGATTTCTTGTGGCTTATTTTAGGACTATCTCGCTTTGCCAAATCTTTTATAAGATTATAAAAAATCTTTTATAAGGGAAAGAAGGGCTTTTGCTAAATAGAAAGCAGTGAGGAAAATAAAATTTTGAAACTCCAAATTCTTAACGTAAGTGACAGTTTTGAATATCAATATTAGAAAAACAACAATGAAAAAAATTGCAATTCATTACTAAGAGCTTTTTTAAATCCAGGATCCGATTCTTTTTATAGGTTTGAGTCTTTTTATAGGTTTTCCAAGAACTAGAATAAAAGCAGCTCAGACGTAGAACCACAGAATAATTTAGGTTGGAAAAGACCCTCTAAATCATTAAGTCCAGCACTGCCAGGGCCACCACTAACCCATGTCCCCAGGTGCACATCTCCATGTCTTTTAAATCCCTCCAGAGATGGGGACTTACCTGGGAGCCTCTTCTCCTGCATCTGACACAAAAAGTCTGAAAATGAAAACAATCAACAATGTCTCTTGAGAGGGGAAAAAAAAAACAAAACAAAGGTTTTAAGTTTCATTTTCATCTTTTGCTTTTTGCTATAAAAATACAAAAAGTATCAATTCTGTTTCTGTAAATAATTTTAGATATTTTTATTTTCTAGGCAGCTCCTTAACAACTATTTTTTGTTTGTAGGTCAATTAGTTGTGCCCTGAATGGAAAGTAGCAGGAATTTTGCACTTTTATAGCGTTGTAGTTGGTGAGTCCAGGTAACCATGAGAGGTAGCAGGGTTGAAGTTTTAGAAAGAGATGGATTGTTTAGTACCTGGGCTTTACTCTTACTGTGAGCAGCCTTTTGGCTCCTACAAGATCTTCTTTGATTGCCAGATGCCCTGGAGACCCCTGAAAAGTTCAGGGTACAGCAACAGGGGGAAAACATCTTTTGTCCTCTGCTAAAATCATTTCCACATCCCTTTCCTTGCCTAGTAAGGGTTTCCTCTGTTGTTAAAAATCTCTGTTGGTACCACTGGGATGATTTTCATGTAGGAACAACCTCACAAAGGTTTGGACACCTGGTGATTGCACAGAGTGTCTCTAACAGATGAGATTCAGACATCAAAATGGTCAGCAATGTGAACAAGGTGGTTATGTTCTGGTATGGTTTGTTCTTACGCTTTGCTGTGTGATGTTTAGGAAGAGAGGTTGGAAGCAGCCAGAGATGTTCTGACTAATCTTCCCCAGATGATACAGAGTATATTGAATCCTGCAAAAAACCATCTCCTCCACAATGTGAGATTTCATACTTGATTAGTTATAAAGAATGGGCAGAGATTAGAGACTAATCTTTGATTGGATGCCTTTTAAGGGGGCAAAAATGTTGTGTGATTTTTTTTTTCCCTTGTAAGTATTGTCTTATACCAAAATATTCTCCTTCCCTATCTACCGTAATTTGTTTTAGAGTTGTTATCCTGGTTTTAGGGACATGGTGATAATTTCCATGACAACATAGAAAGATTCCAGAAACAGAGATTTCTGACTAAATATATGAAGGTTGTTGAAAAGCACAACTGCAAGAATTCTGCCAACTCAGTGGGAATAACAGACAGAAGAGTTAAGGTATGTGATCTCATCTTTGGAAACCAAAATGTTCTTTACATTGTGTTGATTTACTTCATGTGGGATGTATTTAAAATTGGTGAACAAGCATCTCTCCAAACTATAGCAATTTGCCCTTGATGTGCTGATGCCCAAAGCCTTGCTGGGTGTCAGGTCTTAAACTGGTCCTGATTCCACATGTAAATTCACAGAACTAACTCCCACAGAACCCAGGCTTTGTGACCTGGTGGCTGCAAAGAACTGAAATCCTTCTAACCCCCCATTTGAGCCAAGTGTAAAGCTGTGCTTGGATCCCACCCGCAGTTTAAACCTCACATTTAGGAATGTCCCAAAGCAGAGTCCCTGCCCCTGAGCTGCCACTGCCCCTGCTGGCTGAGGTACCTCTGCTGAGCACCCAGCTCTCTTAGTGTCACATGGGTTTCCCCCTGCATTTATAGGGGCTTTCTGGAATTCCAACCACCATTCCCTGTGACAGGAACACCTCCACTGTGCTCCAGGTGTTCTGGGACAGGATCCTTCAGCAGGTACCAGTTTACAAAGACAATAAGTCCCTGTGCCTTGCCCAGGGGTGGCACCAGGGCCAATGACATGCAGCTCCATGTTGGGGAAAGAGTTACTTTGGAATAGTTTATGGATTTAGAAAAGCCCTCGCTGGAAGTGATGTTGATTATCCCAGGGTCCTGCACCCACACCTGGCAGTGACTAACAGTTCCTAATTTATGCTAATAGCTTCCCCAGTCAGATGGGCATGGTTGGCCCTTCACACTGCCCTGCTCTTTTATTGTGGTTCCCCTCCAGAGATCACCAAACAATGCAGTTTAACTTGGGGGTTGTTCCTGGGAGAGAGCTGCCCACTCCTATCTTTCTACTGCCTCCATAAATGCTCCCTTTGCATGGCAAACAATGCAAATCAGGGCTGAATTTTTGCCTTCCCTAATTGCAAAACTGGTTACTCCTCTGTGTAAACAAGCTGATGGTGTTTTGTTTGCTGACAGAAAAAAAAAAAAAGAATTGGGCCAGTTTATATTTGGCAATGCTTGGGGTTTTGTGGGTGGCTCATGGGCTAAGCCTGATGGAGACATTTGGTTTCTATTGAATGTTGGAAAATAACAAGATTTTGGAGAAAAAAATCCTGAATCTTCTTGGTGTGAAGTGTTTGACTGGGCTCTGATCCCCTGATTTTTCTGCTGTTACATTAGTAAAACCTGAAGTAGCAAATGAAAACAGATTAATTGCATACTGTCATCCAGCAGCTTTGGTTCCGTTTTCCAAAATTTTCTGTAGCTACTCACATCTCTAAAAGGCTGTAAAGTGCCACAGTGCTCTATTGGTGGAATTCCATATATCTCTCCTTTCCTTCTAGAGGTAGAAATAATTCCAAAGGTGGAGGAAAAGGGACTTTTGCATTTATGTTTTTCTGTGTCAAGTCTTCCTGAGGAAGTCCAGAAACTGTGTATCCTTGGATATGGCAGCATCCAGGGACACCACTCCTATGTCTCCAGCACAGCACAAGATAATGCTTGGGTTTGGGGCTTGGGGGAAAAAACAGCTGGAAAGGGTTGGAGGCATGTGCTGCACTAGGGGAAGTCCTGGATTCTCCTGAATCAGTTCCCAGCCTTTCCTTGTTTATCCTGGTGTGCCTCAGGTTGCTCTGTTCCCTCTAATCAGACTTTCCACAGAGTTCCTTTGGTGGTGTCTGTCACATTCCAGGGAATTGTTCAGTCAGAGACACTCATTTTTCCCTGCAGCCTCTGTGCGTGTGACAGTGCTGGTACCACCTGTAAAGTCCTGGGATTCCCATATCCTGGTTATCCCAGGGATGGGAACTGGGCATCCTCTCTGCTTGGGTGTTTCAGGAACTGATCCAAAGAGAAACCTCTGGATGGACAACTGCTAAAGAGAATGTGACTCGGGGAAAAAGGTGATCCATCTTTTTTTACAACAGACTTGCAAACTGAATCAGCTTCCCGGATTTGCAGTGATCCAAAGGACATTGGCTTAGCCTCATGACTCCTTTTCATTCCATAATAGCCTGTGGGATTTAGTGATAAGGAACTGTCACTAAAGACTTGTCATCCTGAGCCAAAAATCTGTTCACAAGAAGTGACTCCTGCCAAAGACTTGGTTCTCTAAAGCCTCAGACTTTGGTCTCCAAGTGTTGTGGAATGTCATGGGCTCTAAATGCAGGAGGAAAACCATATTTGCAAGCAGAGTTTTCACTCGGTTCTATCAGTGGGGACACTGAGTAGTATAAATAAAGGAATTCAAGAACAGACTGTATTTAGCTCTAATTAAAGGGCAGTCTCAAAATTTGCCAGATTAAGTAAATAGTGTATTAGCTCTGTCTGTCACAGCCACGGACAGAGCAGTCCATTTGGAAGCTGAGTGATTTCCTGGAGGCACATAAAAAGTGTGTTTTACGTGGTATTTTACCACACAGAATTTGGGATGAGGAAAGTGCTACTTATACTCTGATTTAAGTGCCTGTTGCTCCTGTGCAGTTTGGGGTGGTTCTCTGTGGTGGCAGGGATTGCCCCTCGGGGATTCCAGTTACACAGCTCCCAGAAGCACTGGGCTGAGAGCAAGGGAAAACTTTGGGAGTGGTTTGAGGAAGTTACACCCCCAGCTGACTTTGCCCCTGGTGTCTCAAAACAAGAGACTCTGAAATACGGGGTGATTTGATAGAAAAAACCCCCCAGAAATATGATGCAGTTGTACCCCTGGCACTGCTACTGTGGCAACTCATTGGTGCAGCCTTGGCTGAGGGGTTTTGTGCCACTGAAAGAGCCCCTGGGGGCTTTGGTGCCCAGCCTTGGACCATCCACTGTTAGGGGTGTTATTTATCCCACTTGTGTTAATCAAAGAGATAAAGGTAAGCCTTAAAATATGTGGGCTAATCTGATCGTATCAAACCTATTTCAGATGAAAATTTAATTAAAAATGTGTAATCTCTTCATTAAAGGAACTAACAAGGCCTCTCATTATGCCTTCACAGTAGAAGTTCAGGCTGATGCAAGAAAACCTCTAGTAACATGAAGGGAGAGTTCATCTGTCCACACAAGATATTTGTCAGGCATTTGCCACACCAGAGATTTGTCCAGACTCTCCTTACAGGATCTTTTAGACAAGATTTTTCTATCTATTGTAAAAGGTTAATATATATGGTGTCTCCATATTAGGGAAAAATAGGCTCTCCTCTGAGGCACAATTCATCTCACCCTGGCAGAGATATATCCAGATGTCCAGGATAAGACAAAGTGTGCCCTTCAAGTGCTCATTTCTCCTAGTTGTAGAGAGAAGTTGGAAAACTAGCCTTCAGCCATATTTCTGTGTGCTCTGCAGACAGAGCTCCTGACACTAATTTGGGCTGTACACCCCTCAGGAGTGCCAGCAGACAATTCAACTCTTTACCTGTTAACAAGTACAGAACATTCTCCCTGTGGTTGTCTTTAATGCAGACGAATAATTTCAACCAAGTGGTACAACCTTAGACATAACTCAGGGAACTTTCATGACTTATGTACGGCTGTAGTGTCACCCAGGAAAAGACAGAGGAGGCAATTAAAAATTCAGGACAAATCCAAGGAATTCAGTAAGAAAACCCCCAGTGGAATTCCTGAGTCTAATTGCTTTGCCGTATTTTCCCTGTAATTTATGGCACTCTGTCCAAGCATTAACCATCCTGGCAGTGTTCCAGCAGGCTGACAGGGTACATGTTAAAACCCAGCCAGCCTTCCAAAGACATGAAGTTTCTCTTTCCCCATTCCTCCCTTCCTTTCCCTGTTGTATCTTCAAAAGGAGAAGGCCCAGTGGTAACTCCAAGCTGAGGACTGAGACTTTTCACAGCCTGGTCACATCTCTGCTCCATGAAGTGCTCAGTCCTCCAGAGATTTGGTCAAAGTCTTCATTTTAAAGTGAGGAAACAAGGATTTTTTTGAGGGAAATGTATTCTCCTTGGCTCTGGAACTTGCCAGTGCCAGGTTCTAAGCCAAGACTTCTATCAAACATGGCTGGTGTCCCTTGCTGTCTGCGTTAGCACTGTTCTGTGGGAATGGTGGTGCTTCACTTCCCCAGCTCAGGGGTGATCTTGTGTGACCTCCTACATGTTACAACAGACAACCGCAGATACAGAGGGTCACCTCCAAAGCCTTCAGAGGTCATGAGGTGTGATGTGCCAAGGGCTGCAGATGGAGGGTAAGTCCTGCTCTGTTCAGCTGGAGGAGACTGAGGGGAGACCTCACCGCAGTTCCAACTGCCTGGGCAGGGGCAGAGCAGGGGCAGGGACTGAGCTCTGCTCTGGGGGGACCAGGGACAGCAGCCAGGGAATGGCTGGAGCTGTGTCAGGGCAGGCTCAGGTTGGATCTCAGGCAAAGGTTCTTCCCCCAGAGGGTGGTTGGCACTGCCCAGGCTCCCCAGGGCAGTGGGTACAGCCCCAAGGCTGCCAGAGCTCCAGGAGGGTTTGGATGATCCTCTGGGGCACAGGGGGTGACTCTTGGGGCTGGGCCTGTGCAGGGCTGAGGGTTGGACTGGATGATCTTTGTGGGTCCCTTCCAACTCAGCACATTTCAGGATTCTGTGATAACAGAACCATTAGTGTGGAAATACAGGAGTGGTCCATGGAAGGTCCATCCATGCACACCTCCCTGACGTGACCAAGGGCTGTGTGAGCTCCCAGTGCCCACACACACTAGGCACACACTGACAGGCTCCTACACGGATAGTTCAGTCAGATCAGGAGAGAAAAATGATAAATGAGTGGTTTAAAAATGTGGCTAAACAGAGCTCCTCTTCCTGCACCAGGATGTACAAAACCATTGTGGGGAGCCTTGCTGATGGAGAGCTGGGATACACAATAAATCTCTAGAGTCTGGAAGCAAGTAGGCTCACAGTTTGTAAGCAGGAACATCTTTGGTTACCAGTAGGTGTCATTGCAGGTTTTTGGACACTGGCCCAGCACTTGTGACATGGCCACAGCCATGGCCAGGCTTCTTGGAACTCCACCTGCTCCTGCAGAGAGAGACCAGCTCCTCATTCCCCCACCCCTGGGAGTTCAGGGCCCTTTCTTCAGTAATTCCTGCTCAGTGTTTTTCCTTAGCTCACACATTCTCTTCAGCACTGCAATGGGTGTGTAGGAAGTAGCTGTGTTTCTTCTAGGCACACTTTCCACAAGCCCAAAGAGGGCACCTTTAGAAGGCCTGGGTCTACAGTGGAAATGCCATTTTGCCAACATTTCCAAGTCCACTGAGCAAATCTCAGATTTCAAAGATGTCCAGATGTATTTGACTGAGACTTGAATTAGAAAAATGACCTTTTTACTGTTGCCACACTGTTCTTTGGGTGGTTCAGTTCTCTGCCTCCATTCCCAGGAGAGTGCAGAATGTTTGTGTCAGTACCACAGAGACAAACAAGCAGCTTGTGGGGCAGGAACAAGAGCATGGAGGCTGCAGTGGGGGCACGGGGACTGTGTGTGTAACCCTACCCAAACATCCACCCCCCAAGCTCACATTTCCATGTGCAGCCTGCTCTGCCATGTGGATAGAAACCCACACTTGTATGGATCTTTGGTGGTCAGAGGTACAAACACACAGTCCCAGCTCCAGCCTCCTCTGGTGGGACAGGTTTCCTGCCCTCAGTGACTCTTCTGTCTCACCTCTGTGGGTGACTGGGGCTGTGGGAGGGCTCAGAGAAGGGTTCAGGTAGCCTGGAAGTGCCTTTGCTGGAATTCCTTTGCCAACACATCCTCAGGTCACATTCCCTGTTCCACAGCTGCAGCCCACTGAGATCCACACTGCTTCTGGAACACACCTTGGCCTTTCTCTTCCTGTGCTGCTTCTGACTGATCTGAGAAGAAATCCTTGTTCTCAGTCCCAAGGCACTTGTTCCTGCATTCTATTCCCATGGTCCAATTCCAGGACTGCCATTCACAGGAATGCCATTCTTCCTGAGGCTACTCTGATCCTCCTGGATGTTAATGGTGCCTCCCAGCTCCACAGCATCAGCAACTTTGACTCTGTGTTCTGACATCTGGTGCCAGGGTCGTTCCCAGAAATATTTTACAAGGTTGGTTGCAGGTCTGATTCTTCAGAAATGCGATTAAATGGCCCATTCCAGCCCAATCCTGCTCAGTCCTTTATGCTACCATTTATTTTTTTAAAGAGTGTTCTATGTACAGCAAAATTCTTACACCAAGCCTTGTCTTCTGTGGTTTAACTACTGATGCCTCAGCTGATATTCTGCCAAATCCTACCCTGCTGTCCACATAGCCCAGAGCAATGACATGTCCATGGACATCTTGTAAATCCTCTCTCCTTAAATCCCCAGGTGCTTATTGGGATGCCTGAGTAGGGGTAGCTAAAGCACATGGTTTGGGACCTCAGGAGTGGAATATGTTGGCCCTGAAGTCTGGAATAAAGAACACCCCTCCCACAGTCCTGCTGTCACTCACAAGTGGCACAACACTGCCCTGAGTTTTCAGTGCCACAGAACTGCCTCCATGGAGTGTGTGGAGAGAATGTTAAAGCAATGAGGCACAAATGGAGAATGAAGAATAATAATTTATTGTAGAATATATTAACCAGATTCCCAATGCTCAGGTTTGTGGGCTGTAGAGACCTGTCAGCCATAACCACATGACTGCCATGCACCTGCCCAGCATGTTCAGGGGGAATTTTGGAAAGGACGGTGTGGTTCTGCAGGGCAACTGCAGGTCTTTTCTTCTGTCCTTGTAAGCCCCCAGTGATCTGGGAACCACAGCTCTAGCTCTAGACAGTGTTCAAACTCCTTTGTTCCATTCTTAGAACTGGGATTAAAGTATCTTCCTTAAGAGAGGCTAGAATTTCAAGGCAAAAATTTATTCAACAAGGTGATCCACTGAAATCAAATGAAAAATCTGATGCATACAGAAGTACTGGTAATAGGAGA